ATTTGGCAATCACTTCCACCTGCATGCCACCACATCTCCATCCTTTTTTGTGCCCTAATAATGCCTCATCAAAATATTACTACTTTTTTAACCCATCTATTTTAATTTTACCCGTCTATACTATCTCCGTTTCAACAAACTTTTCATAGGTATGTCTTAAAAATGTATAACTTTTATTTTGTAATAGGATATAATATGATGTGTATGATAAATGAATTATAATTTAAAGATGACACAAAAATCACGCATTTTAAAAGCGCATCTTTTTTCAAATTGATAAGATTTTGTTGGGACGAAGGCAGTACTACAACTAACTAAGATATTAAAGTTATAACATAGTATTTGTATCTATTTTTTTTAGTGTCTAAAAATACTTTAACCCTATGTTTGGTTTAAGAAATTTGAGAGGAAAAGGAAAAGAAAATAAGAATTAAAATATTTTTCTGGTTTGGTTAGAGAAGAAAAAGAAAAGAAAAGTGGAATGAAAAGAAAATGAGAATGGCAAAATGTACTAAGAGGAGGGAAAACAAAATTCTTCCCATTTTGGTGACGAAACTGATAGTATAGAAAACTATTTTCTTTTCTTTTATTTCCAAATTCCTTGAACCAAACATAGCGTAAGTAGTAGATTTATTTATTTTTTTATAATTTTTTGTTAATATACTTTAAGAGATTTTTTTAGCCAAAAACTCGACACAAAAAGTGAAATGAACAATTAAAAAAGAAAACAAACTTTAACTACGTGTATATTTTCACCATTTAGGACATTGTTCCAGAATTAAGTGAGACCTGAGTAGGGGTGAAGAAGGCTACGAACCAGAACCATGACGTTATGTTTTCTAATACTGAAACCAGACCGGAACCTAAAGTTTACAGGGAAGAATTGAACTGACTTTAACAAGGCAAGCTGAGTTGACTTATAATGGAAAAAATGGGACACATTGTTTTTAGGTTGAAGCTGCTAAAATGAATGGAAATGGCAATCTTACCCTTATTTTCATGCCATTGGAGTAAAGAAAATTCAATGAAGAAAGCCAATTTTATTTCAATGAAGTTCACCTTACCAAACAAGATCTAAAAACCTCTAAATGGTTCATCAAAGAATTTACATTGAGATAAACTTTACACTTTTCCTAGATTTTATACAATTTGTTTCGTTGAGCTTCTAAAAATCTAAGCTTCAAAGCATTCCCAGACAACATCTTCTTGCATCAACTGCCCTCTAGAAATGCCTCAACATTGAAAGAATTGATTTTTCTGCAAATTGGATGATTTCCGAGCAAGGGTAAGGTCTGCATATACATATGATCTCCAAACCCAACTGTGGGTTTTTACTGAGTTTGTTGTTGTAGCTCTTGTTGTTGTTGGTTGGGATGTTCGAGATAGAGCTGAACCCCAAGGGGTTCACTCCTCATTGACTTGATAGGCATAATCACAGGAGGTTGCTGCCACTGTTTGGTGCCTGTGGGAACCCATACACTTGCATTGCTGCCCTCTGGGAGAGCCCGAAAGTAGCCTGTTATTTCCCACCTGCAATCTGATGAAAGACGACACCTTTGATCACCACACAAATTCTATCAACATTTGAGACCCAACATTGAAAAAACGCACTCGCTCTGTTGTGAGATGGACTTTAGTTGTGTGTGTATACAGGTTGATAGGTCTCATGTTCATGTGTATATAGTAAAAGAATTGGTATATTCAGATAATGAGTAGATCATATGGGGAGCCCAGCTAGCATAGATATTCTACATGGAACGGGTAGAGTTATTGTACAATTGTATACATATGTCCGGCAGACCTATATATACAATGTAATCTAACACAGAGTATATAACTCATCTTTTATTACTGTTATGACAAAACATGTGTATTTTATTAATCATAGGAACCATATGGAAAAATCTTTGAGACGGTTTTGAAGCATTTTGGATGCTTTTAGGCATTTCAATGGAATAAATCAAAATGTATGCAGACTTTACCCTACTTGGAAATAAGAGGCAGTTTCCAAGAGACACCCGGATGAGTTGAAGTACCCAAACATATCAAATTGGGGTTCTTTTAGAGATCTTCGAGACCATGAAGTGATGAAGCTTTCAATGTACCTTGATTCGCTAACTAGAGGAATGACATTCCTCCACCCCATTACAGCTAGCAATATTTTCTAAAGTTCTTCTAGCACCGCTTATGAAACACAATTCTATATCCACTTAATGGTTCACCACTTCTACCAAAGGCCATCTCTTAAGGGAAACTCACACTTTCAAAATTTTTCATTTCCACACTCCAAACAACTTCACTCCAACTTCTATCTAGATTAGGGTTAGACTTAAAATCAACTACAATTGATCATTTTAGATTAGAAGAGTCAAGACTCAAATTCATTCCTTTCCATTGATTTAGTGAAGCTTCCTTTCTTAAGTTCGCAATTTCTTCTTTTATATTCACCACACCTTGTTTCACCATTGCTTTTTCTTTAATTAGTTATGCTGTGTGAGCAGTTCCGTTGGGGATTGGAGGAGGTTAAGATTCCATGTAATTGAATTGTGTGGGTTTGGAGATTTTGGATACAAACCCAAAATGCTACGTGTTCGTGAGAATGTCTCGATGAATATTTCACTTGCAATTAAGAGAATCAGTCCTTCCTTTTCAAGCAATCTGTTCTTATTAATGTGGGAGAAGAGATACAAATTTTGGGACGATCAAATGACGAAGGGAGAAAAGTTCATTTATAGCTCTCAAACTCCCTCCCCAAATGAAAAACATAAGGTGTGGGAAGCTAAAGAACAAACCCATCAATGTTGGATAGAAATTAAACCAAACAAAGGCTAAACCCATGGTGTGGGATAAGGCCAAAGCCAACACTAATACACATATTAAAATCTAGACCCATAATTGCAATATAGAGGACGGTTTTGGATCTAAACTGGCAGAAAATTGCTCCTGGGTACCCCATGTTTTGAAAAACTAACTGCCGGGTACCTCATATTTTTTGAAATATACTCCGAGGTACCCTCTATTTTTAGAAACTAACTATCGGGTCTCTCACATTTTTAAAATATACTCCGGGATACCTCCAAATATACATTAACTTACTCGTGAAGGACATCGTGTCTCACTCTTCGTCAAAGCCAGTTACGCCATTAATTTTAAGAATTAGAGGTTTGGAATTCCATATAAATAATCTTAGTTTTTATACTTTAATGATACAATCTATCAAGTTTAATCGAAGCTTTCGAATGAAACAGAATGTCCCTTATGGGTAAGTTAATGTATATTTGGACGTACCCCGGAGTATATTTTAAAAATGCGAGAGACCCGATAGTTAGTTTCTAAAAATAGAGGGCACCTCGGAGTATATTTTAAAAATATGAGGTACCCGGCAGTTAGTTTCTCAAAATATGGGGTACCCAGGAGCAATTTTCTCTCTAAACTGGGTCCAAACTCAACCCATTGACATTCATATTGCTTAGAGTGTTAGGGGTGTATGAGTTACCTATTGAGAAGAAAATGAAGGAAACATAAAAATGCATAGAGATCACCACTAAGACAAGCTCACCGGGAGGAAGATTGTGGGTAAGCGATTGCAAATTGGGAAGCTTGATCAAGAAAGACCTAAGTGAGAGCTCCAGGTCAGCTTCTTCCACACTAGAGCCATAAGACTGGTTCACATCTATCTTGAAAACAAACCTCTCAAATGGAACATTGTTGTCATCAAAGAAAATAACTGCAACTCTCTCCACTTCCCCCTATGTAAACAAAAATCAACCCCATTAAAATTTTGATTTTTCAAAAAAATTGAAAGCCTAAAAAAAACATCCACCTTAATCCACCAGAGGTATCACAACCATACACTTGCAAAAAAACAAATTGGTTGTTTTAGTTAAACCCAAAACAGAAAGCAAATTTCTTTTTAGTCCACTGCTCAGTCGAAACTAAAACATTTCTAATAGTAACGGTTCTTTTAGCTCCATTGCAATTTACAGTCTACAAAAGAATTCAAGTCTAACCATAAATAAGAAGAAGAAGAAACCTTTTGGATAAAATGGAGGAGTCCATTAACGGAGGAGTGAATATAATGTCTGAGATCGGGATGGCGAGATCTATGAACCACGACATTCATGTAGCGCCGCCTCTCAAATGCCCCTGCCATTCGAGAGACTTCAAATCCACTCGCTCGCGGTTGAAATCGAACATGGCGAAATGAAACAAAATTGAGAAAATTAGGGTGCGAGATTTACCGATCGGGTAGACCCCTTTGAGGAAGATAACGGAGTTGATGGCCACTTCCAGAAATTCTACCAGAATCCGAGCCGTTTGGGCTGCAAAGTACAGTAAAGAAAAGGTAAAGACGACAAGTATGGGGGGATTTTAATGGCGGAATTTTGATCGGCGTGAAATATCAGACCTTGCGGGGTTTGTTTTGCTTTCCGATCCATATTATATCGCCGCCGCAGTTGCCGTCGAAGGACTTTCCCGGCTGCAACCCAAAGCCGAGCCTTTTACTCTCTCGTGCTATAGTAAAGTCACTTTCTTACGGAGTATCTTCTCACATTAATTTGTTTTTTGAAAATAAAAAAACATACTCCGTATTAATCTCAGTAGAAGAAATTATTTATTTGACTTCTATAAATTTCATAGAATAATTTGCCTCACTCCCATGTCAGCAAGTCTATGATGTTATATTTAAAATAAATATTTGAAGTAAATTTAGACATTTAGTAAATAAAATTTACTTATTCGAGTAATAGTTACTCCATAATAAGTTTCATTTTTGTTTAGTCGATTGACGAGAACTCCAAACAGTGTCCTTATTACATTGTGAACTTTGTACACATAAAGTGTTAATTTGGCATATTTAGCAAACACATTGATGTATATTCTCAAAAATACTCCATAAAGAATCACTAGCATTGTCATCGTTGATATATAAACATTCATTTTCTCGTTTTTAAACTCATGATTAATAAAAGAAATCAAACTCGTATTTTAAAACAAACCAAACGAAACCAATCCAAACGCAAATCCCACACGGAATAAGGGAAATAAATGTGGCCAGCTTTTTAAAGTTTGAACTAAGCAATCAAAGTTTTTTGTTACAACAAGAGAGTTGAGATAGTCATGTTGAAGGACTGAATTATAATTATAGTACTGCACTTTTCGAGGACTATTGTGTTTGATGAAGAGTTATGTTCTTCAACTCAAGCAAGAACATCCAATCCATACTATTGCACCTTGTTTGTTTTGACCCTCCCATGGAAAGCTGTTAGGACGAGGGTGAAGGACGATTTGGGAATATTTGTTCTCCTACATGGAGCCATGGATCGAAATCCTTCGTAGCATCCTTTTCATATCTCAACAATATTCCGAACAGTATCTTCCCCTGTTTGAATGCGCATTGCAATACGAATGAATGCTTCACATCAGGGTTAAAAATTTAGCCTCTGGTTGGTAGCCTTATCTAGCCTATTCTGATCATCAACAAAATAAGCAAGACAAGTGATTTCTCACTTGGTCCTTTTGTCCCACTTTGTTATGCATGTATTCTTTTTTCTTTATTTTTTGCCCGCGTCCCAATTTATTCTGGTTGTTTCCATTTATAAATGTTTGTCCAATGCATAAATTTCAATCAGACAGTTTTCACTTTATTAGTCCACGTGACGTGCCTAGTCAAACTGGGCACATTAAAATGGGACACCTCAGAGGGAGTACTTATTTAGCTGAAATGACTAAGCATAAAATGCTTGTTTTTATCGAAAAATACACCCCTTAGGTATGGCTGACCTTAACTCGCCTGTATGTTGCTAAAGTAGCCAAGGGTTCTTTCGACCTTTGCACCTTTCCACCACCATGTGAATGTATGTTGATCACCTGGCACCGGTTGCATCCCCCAAGAGACTGTCATGATGAAGCCAAAAGGACGATCGCATACATGCTCAGAGAAGACATTAATGTCACATGACTATTTTTCACAATTTTAGGTTCCATTTAAGTTGGCAGTACTCACAGTGAATATCTTCCCTCCTATCTCAAGACTCTCCCATCCATCTTCTGCATATGGTTCGCCTCCGGATATGACAAGGTTGGGTCGGAATCTCATAGTACTGACTTCAATTGTCTTTCCATAAGCGCCTTGTTGTGTGCCTAAATACAGAGCAATGAATCAATTTGGTCTGTAAACACCAAATACTAGTATAAGAGTTGGAGTGATTGACTAAAACATAACCAAATTTGTGGTGAAAATGATATTATGCTCCTTTCGTAAAAAAGAAAAGGACATTCTAGTACGAGTATATATAAAGAATTTGTTGTAGATTATATCGAATGTACATACTTGAGTGTAACCTGTTGTTTAAATCGGCTACACTTTCCTGAGATACCACTAAAAATTGGGCCTCATTGACAAAATTCAACTTGGTTTCAACACCCTTGCAAATGCCTGTATTAGAATTCACCTTAGAGCAGGTGTATCTCACGGCTCCAGAATTTCTCAGTAGAGTACAAGATTGACCGACAGCATAGCTAAACCAACTGTTGACTTCAATGCCATAACTTTGGACCTCATGCCTACCCAAAATTGATAATACTGTTACCTCTCTCCCAAAATAACTGCCGTTTTAGCAACACAAATAGGTATAACTTTTAAAACAGAAGCAATTTCAAAAAGAAATTTTTTGTTGCTTTTATTGAAACAAGAAACATTTTACTGAAAAACATCAATATAAGTATAAGGATTGCTAGTCTAAAAATTATTAATCCAGGACAAGGTAGTAAGCTACTCTCTTTCATTCTTTCCTCTAAACTACTCCGTATTTTACATGCTGGTTGCAATTTACATAAGTAATCAATGCATATTAGAAGCCACAAAAGTAACACAAGCGTAACAAACCTTTGCGCATGTATGCCAATTTCATCAGACATTGCATCATTCATATCGGAATTAAGTTTAATCTGCAGTTTCTCTTTGCAGCGAGGAGACTCAACAAACAGCATTCCCAACTTGAGATCAATGGATGTTTTGATATGACACATTTCTGGAATCTAGTATCCCATTAGCGTCATCAAAGAATTCCACAAGAATAACAGTGAATTAAGTATATCACTACTACTGGTTTGCACGCAGATAGAAGAATCATTACATAGATTGGGGTTAAATGTATAAATATATCATGAAAAAGAAGGATTTAATCCTTCATTGATGCAGAAGACATCTGCAAACACATACCATCACCATCACCACCCCTAAAGAAAAAAAGAAGGGATTAACTACCTTCTTTTGTGAAAGGACTTCCCCACTGGCACTCCTAAGAAGCCACTCTCGGTCATGCAGTAGCCCTAAATCCAAAGCAGAGGAAAAGGAAGTCAGCTGATTTCTTGAGAGTGCTATACAGCAAGAAAAGTTCACTTCTCACAACACCCCTAAAAGAAAGAGGGTTCTATTTTTTTAAAAAAAGGCAATGCCTAAACACAAAGAGAAGTACAGTAATGGGGAGGGGAGGGGTATGGAGAGAATGCACCAAACCTTTACATCATAAAGCTTATAGGAGTACTACTACCTGTGCTTGTCAGGGGCCAATGATCCGTACTAAAGCCTGCACATGACTTTATTGGATATACAGTAATTGATGTGAGGAAATACATTGCTATCTTTTCAGTTCCTGCATTTGAAAGAGGAGTAGAGACTGATTATAAAATAAAACTCACATTCTGGAAACTGTAATCAACTTGCAGAAAGTTTGACAACCAAGTTTACAAACCAGAGGACAGAAAGAGATATTGGTGGTAACAGTATAACCTTTCATTACAAGGGGAGATGATCTTGCACTCAAAGCACCTTCGATGGAATGAAATGACACAAAGGACCCTTCCATGAAGTCCATGAATTTCTGAACACCAGTGCAAGGAATGTAGAAAGCAGCATGTCAGTGTAACATTATAAGAATAAGCTAACCAGCAGATGCTCACAGCTAAGGAGAAGCAAATCAAGCAGGTTTTCCACTCATCATGTATCAAGGTTGCATAAACCTGACCTACTATTAAAGCTCTATTAAAATAAAGTGAAACAAAGTTGAGCAGAAGTGATGCTGAATAAAGAGTGCATGTAACTCTTGTGATGGTTTGCAACCATGTGCTCATTTATAAATAAATGGACTATCGAAAGAAATGTGTCTGTCACAGACCAAATGTTTTCCAAAATACCCACTAACTTCAATAGCAATAAAGATGAAAATTTTGTAGCTGTAGAAAGAGAGGATGCTTAGACAAGGAAGAGATAAATAAAAATAATGTCTTAGAGAACAGAATCATATAGGAACAGAATACCCTGGCATCTTCAAATGTTGACATGTAACCAAACGATACTCTAACAGCTCCAGTTGGTTTTCCATTTAAAATATCTTGGTCATCCCAGCAAACATGGCCAGCCTTTGAAAAAGAAGATAAACCATGATGTACATTAAAGGTTTAGGAATCATCCAATTATCCATCTCTGAGAGAATGAGATCTACCTCAATATTTGAAAGAATATCCCTGTGCGATAAACCAAGGTACTTTGCACAGGCACCAGGATTGCAAAAGCATCCTGTCTACGCAAATAGAAGAAAGAAAAGGATTGACAAAAAAAAGCAAAGAGCAAATTGTAAGTCATACAAGACTGAGAGAATAAATGGAAGTATTTTCTAACAGTTCGGAGAGTGGTGACAAAACATGTACTCCCTTCGTCCCATAAAAAGGTTCCACTTTTCACTTTTGGAAACAATTTTGTGGCCCTTATAATTTCACTCTCCTCTGCATCACTCTCAACCACAGAATTTCACTTTTCTTAATCTCCGTGCCAAATCAAAGGTGGAACCTTTTTATGGGACCGAGGGAGTATTACATCAACAACCCAGTAGTTGCACAAGAGCAGGGTGTGACAAAACATATATGCATGTTTGAAAGTAACCACTCACTACTATTAAAAATTCATGGCATATATATTTATAGAATAGATTTTAGTCTTCAAACACTTGCCCGTAGCTGAATTCCTGCCAAAGAGGCCAAAGTTTCCACTTCCCGGCAGCCACACCATGTCCCATCTGGTCTCTTTACATTGAATGAAACTATCGGACCCACTTTACCAGGTAATACCTGCAACTATATTGATTAAGAAATTGCAAAATTTCATGTACATACCCATCCAGAATGTATAACCAAATAACTTTATATAAAAACTGACTTCTGGAGTGTTTTCTCCATAAATTGTGCAAACACGTTCTCCATTTCCATGTCTCAAAGCTGAGAGTGCTTTCCTAACATAGGTTGCCAGAGATGATGTATGCCTAACCTTGCAAAGAGATGCTTGTCATAACATCTTCATCTCATTAGACACCAAATAAAAAATGTTTGTCACACACCGGGATATAGAAGACATGGTTAAAGTATTGAGCACTCTGAGTCCATGCAGAATTGATGCTATGCTCAAAAATGATACTGTTCCATCCTCAAAGTACTCCTCCACACCTGCTCTTCTTTTGAAGAAGTCAGTGTCGGCGATAGTAGCAGCAACAGTGCCTAGTAAGGGTTATATAGAATAAGGTTAGTAGTTTCTACTCCGTATTGAACTTCAAACTACACTTAGAAATGGAGATGAGAAAAACCTCCACTAAAGTAGGTCTTCCTCAGTAGTTTCGCAGCTTCTGCAGGGGATGGGGAGGGGGTCATCTTTTTTAGTTTTCTTTCTAAAGCGAAGTAATGAAATAAGTAAATAAACATAAAAAATGAGGCAAGAAAAACCCCACACATATACTAATTACCATTTTTTACAATTAGTGCACCAATGCCAGTTGGGTATCCAAACATCTTACAAAACAAAACAAGGAAAATAAAAAATAATCAGCCCAATGGTTAGGTGTGTGTCCTACTTTAGTTGAAAACAGGATGGTGTTTAGATGTACCTTGTAGAATGAGATGACAACAAAGTCTGCCCTGTATTTGGTCAAATCTGGTGGCTCTGTCGCACATCCTTTAGCAGCATCAATCAGAACCAGCCATTGGCCTCTGTTGACACTTTTTAGGTGAATGTATTACAAAGCCAATTTTAGATAGATAAAAAAGTGACACAAGAAATGCAAACAAAAAGACAGTGGCACAATATTGAAGTAATCATAACTGAACAACCCTCTGGCCTAAACAATAAGTGCTTTGCTAATAAATTTGAATATTATGCAGCTAGGAAGTAGAGAATTCAAGATACCTTCTTCATCAATTCTCCTCTTTCATATTATGGAGTACAAGATTTCTTTTGATTTTCTACATTACCCGCACTCAAGAGTTATCATAAACATTTTCATACACCATCCGTATTTGTAAACAAAGAACCATTTGTTCACAAAATTTTTTGCTTGGTGTTGTTCACCGAGAATACTCAACTCAATAGAATACAACAACAAACCTAGTAAAATTCCAAACAGAGTAGAGTCTAGGGAGGATGAGTATATGCACTATGTATATCTTACCCACACTTGGATGTAGATTCAACTCAGTAGAATATCATCTAAAATATGACCAGGTTGGCAGTGGTTGCCTTGGTGGTCGGCAGCGGCGCTTAGGGTTGTAGGGTGTTGGAACAATAGTGTTGTGTTTTCTGAACAAACAACATAGCATTCCACGCTGTAGGTTTGGGCGGCCTCCACCACTGCCACAGAAACTCGAAAGCGGATATAAATTGCATGTTGTGGTTCAGGAAGGTTTCCCACTATCTTCAAAGGCATGCTCCAGTCCGGGGGAGGGGGGCGTTTAGCATAGAAGTAAACTTTTCATAAAAACAATGATCTAAGCATGAAAAGTAGGAAAGGAAAGTATGTTTCATGTGTATGGGAAAGATCTCAACTGTGGAAAATCTAAAAAGGCCTCTCACCAACTAGACAGATGAGAGCTCCAAGTTAAAAGGAATAATTCGGGTGGGATTCCACTGGGTTGTTGTTGTAGACTTTGACTGATAGAAACTCAAAAGTAAGAACTTTGCAATAAAAATAGCATTGAATCATTGCCTTACAAATATACATGCATAACACTCTCCTCCTCTTTTATGAAATTCTAAATCAACTAATATTAGCAACAACATTGTTAAAACTACAAGAAATATCAATTGCAACGAGAATTTGTTAGCGAGATGAAGAGGCAAACAGATCTCTAACGGATTACCTATGAGACAGAGAGCTGCTTGAACCTTCCTTCACAATGTTCACCAGGTCAAGGTTGAACCTTTTGCCTGAAAAGTTGCACTCCGACGGAAATGCAAACAAGTTGTGAATCTTTCCTGCAAAATAGTAATAATAATTAATAATAATAATCCTTTCAAATAATAATTATAATGCTAACAATTAAAAAAAACAATTTAAATCAAACAGCTATATACTGCAGAGATATTTAATCAAAACAGAGGCAACATGAGACTTCAAATTCATATTTAACAATAAAAGTCCATGACAAGTCGTCAATCATTATACTACAACTCTGTATTATATTATTAAACCTTAAAAGGGATCAAATGTATTCCAAATATTTTTTAAGACTAATTTCATAAGAGTCCAAACCCTCAGTCCATCAAAGATCAGGCCTTGCTCTGTTTCTTCCCTTTGTTCCCTCTTATGAGAAGTTCACAACCTACAGAGGCTTTAATCTATAAGCTGAGAAAATACTAGACATATAAGACTGGATTTGTGCAAACTCTAAACTGTAAGTCATTAAATGGTTTTAGAGGCTGAGCCCCACACCATTGTCAAACAAAATGATAGTGACCTACCTGTTGATCCTTTGTTTGGCAGTCCAGCTTCACATCTTTGCATAGGGCGGTGGGAGATCTTAAAGGCAGATTGATGGCTTTGTGAGCTATCATTACTAATAGCATCTTTAACATCTACAGCAAATGTTGTAGCTCCTTTATTGAGTGCATATCTAGATATTATTGAGGAAATGATATTCATCAAAGTTAATAATTATATGGGTTTCAAGATAATAAATTTCCAGACACATTATAAGAGTTCATTCGGATTACGAAATATAATGGGCAAACGATGTGCACATCAACAGTAAGCAATGAGTTATGCAGACTAAAACTAGTTTTTTCAAATCAAGCTAAAGTTTTGGCTTTAGACAGGGAAAAGGCACAACTTGAAAAGGCTGATATATATGGCCAAATATGACTAATTATAGAATTCATAGCATGTTGCTGGTAAAAACAAAGATACTCTCTTATCCCAAGCACGCTGTTATGATTCTCCATTGTATACATAAAGCTGCTCTCACTGCACCATGGGAATGTCTCCCCAACAAGCTTCAAAGCTGCTGTTGCCCCAGAAGTGAATATGCAGCTGTACTCTCTGGGGGATGCATTGAAGAATTCAAGTACCTATACCAATATTATAAAAAGCCAAAAAGAAGGAAAAGAATCCTAATTTACTTCAGTCCACTCATAGGAAAGTATTGACAGCAAATTGACTACCTGCTGACGTGCTTTTTGAACACAGTCATTACTACTCATGCTGCAGCTGCTTTGGCTATCTTTTGATTTACATCTTAAGGAACCCACTTAATTAAATCAAGATCACCCCATTGACTTGATGCTGATGATGAAAAGCAATGTGAGCACTCAATCATATGATGAATATACTGCGGCACATTAAGGGTACTCCTAAACACTATTGGCTTTATGCTGATGATGAAATAAACAGTCAAGAGGCACGAATAATCAAAACACAGTTTGCCATACTTCTGCATGGGTGAGTTTCAATGTTTGGTTGAATTTGATACCTCAGAGGACTACTATAGAGACGGTCCTTTTAAGTTCTGAAGCATACCAACCTCTTGGGGTTGTGCGACAATTTTTCATGTTTCACATGGCAGATATCTAGAAACACAAGACTATTTAGATGTTGCTCACATGGCTTTTATTTAAACAACCTAAGAAACAATTGAAAAAAAAACTGTCTTAGAGTACTCCTCTGAGTTATTGAATTCACCCAAAAAAAACCTGTGATTTTTGGAGAGAGTATGTTCGATCTAATGACCAATGGACTCCAGAGAAACGTAAAGGCTAAAGGATACGAGGATTTCCATAAACAGTGGAATTGAGTTCTTTCAAAACTGCTTCCAATTGAGACTCCGAGTGGAGGGTAGCTCCGGCATGATCCAGATACACAACACCTACGAATTTCCCAAAATCATCCGTTTATCCATCTTCATAATTCATTTTCAGCCTGGAAAACAAAAAATCCGACACATTACTGACCTTCCAAACGCTTGAATTCCATGGCTCTAATCTGATCTATATTTCTAGAGGAATTACGATAGCCGTAATCCTCGCCGAACTCCTTCAAAAAAACTTCCTTCTCAGAGCTCATCGCCATAGCGCAAGAGAGAGGGGTGAATGAAGTGAATCAGTGATGACGCGGGCTGAAATTGTACATTCACAATCTCCCGTAATAAGAGGTGTGGGGAATAAATTAATACGGAGTAAAACATATCAAAAAAATTTATTTTGATCAATGATTAAAATGAATTTTTTTTCAGAAAAAACCTATATTGTCTTAAAAAATTGAAATGTACATATTTTTAATATTTATTTTACACTTTTTATCTTAGAAGAATTTTAGGGACGAAATTCTTTTTAAGGGAAAAAATGTAATACCACGAAATATACCCTAAAAGTTATAATAAATTTCTAGTATAATATATTTCTAAATTTTGTTTAACTAAAATTAATAACGAAGGAAATTAAATAAGTTATTACTAAAATTATCCTTTATAAACAAATTTATAATCGAATTGAAGGTATTAACGAAACGGGTTCAAAGGCATATCTCACGTGCGAATCCGACTTAAGAGCGTTAGGATTTGACTGTTCGAGAATCGAAAAAATTATAAAATAAATGAATAAAATACAAATATGTCGTTGAGATAATATAATCTAAAGAGTTTTAGATTTTTGAATGGTCTCGTGAAAAAGTAACCAATAACATACGGTTTGTCGAATTTGAAATTTGGCGTAAAAAAATATGAACAAAATAGATATTACATTTTATAAACAAACAAAAAATTTATAATTTAATTATAATAATATAAAATAATAAGTAAACAAAATCTAGTTTCCTAATACGGAGTCCTATTCCAACTACGAAACCCGAATACTCCGTATAAGTCCAACAATCCTTTTTCCTTACTCGCGCATAAACAAAGCTGTCTTCTTTCTCGATCAATTCGCCGACGGACCGAACCAGAGAGGGGGACCGAAGCACGTCGCCGGAGGCTTTGCCGGAGTACGAGTGCTCGTTTCAATCACCGTCCATATTCATCATCTTCTCAATTGACGCGTGACCAGGGTCAAATCGGAGGGACGACATCGACGCCAGCGATCCAAGATTTATTTTCTCAAATAATCGAGGTGAGTACGTGGACCCTCTATCGTTAGAATTCATAATTGTTTTTTTATGTGTGAATAATCCAACCCGAAGGGCTATACGTGGATTTGTGTGTTCTTGGGGTTGCTTGGGAATTTTGGGGAAAACTTCAACGAATCTTTGGATTCAATTTTGTTGCATGATAGATTGGATTTATTTGATTTGTGGGAATTTGTGTTAAATTGCACAAATAGACTGAAACGGGGAGGGGAGCTACTGGTTTCCATTCTGAGCCCTGCGCATGAATTTGATCTCAAATTGTGGCAGTAGGTTTAGTTTACTCTTTCATTGCATGCTTTATTATATTATTGTATGAAAATTGATTTTTTTTAATCTTTGGCAGTGTTTACAAATTGGTGATTCTGATTATGGCAATCAAAAACCATGCACGACATCTTCTCCCTGAAGCAAATGTCTAATCAGATGAAAGCAAAAGGTTTGCAGAAGTTGAAGTATTATTGTGAGTCGTGCAAGAAGCAATGCCGAGATGCGAACGGATTCAAGTGTCATACTATGAGCGAAGGCCACTTGCGTCAAATGGAAATTTTTGGCCAAAATCCTGAAAAATTTGTTCAAGGTTACTCTTTGGAATTTGAGACTGGCTTCTTTGAGGTTTTGAAACGATGCCACGGGCCGAGGACTCGTGTTGCAGCAATGGTGGTTTACAACGAGTACATTACAAATAGGCACCATGTTCATATGAACTCTAGTTGCTGGAATACTTTGACTGAGTTTGTGATGTATTTGGGTAAATCTGGCAAGTGCAAGGTGGAAGATACCGAAAAAGGATGGTTCATTACTTACAATGCCTCTGCAGATTCTCAAGAGTTGCTTCAAAAGAAGTCTAGGGGTAAGAGGTTTAAGAATAAGTTGGTGGAAGAAAAAAATAAAGAAAAGCAAATTGAGAAACAGATTAAGAGAGCTTCTTCTTCTTCTTCTTCTTCTTCTGCTATTGCGAAAGACATGGGGATTGAGAAGAACAACAACACAAGGATTGCATTTGCAGTCGCTGCCAGTAGCAGTAGTGGTGTTGTTAAGCGCCACAGAGAAGAAAATCATTCCAAGTTCAGTGTGTTTGAGGAGGAAGAAGATGCAGCAAAAGTGAAAAGAAAGAGAGTTCGTGCGACGAGCGCTTGTGTGTTGGAGGAGTTAATGATGGAGGAAGAAGCAATGAAGGATAGAGGGAACAACAGAAAACCACATTGGCTGTGTGAAGGGCTTATTGTCAAGGTTACAAACAGAGCATTAAGTGAGAAAGGGCACTATAACAAGAAGGGCATCATCAGAAAGGTTTTGGGCAAGTACTATGGAGAAATCATGATGCTTGATGATCATCAACCCCTTCTTCGGCTTCATCAAGATGATCTTGAGACTGTGATTCCTTGCATTGGTGGTGTGGTGAGGATTGTAAATGGGTCATATCGCGGATTCAATGCAAGGTTGCTCGCTGTCGATACTGGTAACTTTTGCGCCAAGGTACAGTTATTGGACACGTGTTGCGCCTACCAAGGGCGAGTGCTTCCTGAGATGGCTTATGATGATATCTGCAAGTTAAATTGCTGACCTGTACAAGCTTAGCTCTTCCAAAATACTCAGTATTTTTATATTTCTTCTATATATTGGAAAGTTAGATTGGATTATGAAAAATATTTTAATTTTTTCTTCTTCTTCATTAGGTAAACGAGTTTCTATATATATCTTTATTCATACAACCTGTGATATTGTTTTTAATCCGTTAAAAAAATTTGGCTGAAAGGCCTGAAAACCCACTACGGGCTTGAAACCAAAATCTTCAAATTAAGTTTTGCATTGTATTAACAATTTTTTTGAACATAAAATTTTACATTGTATAGCCAAGTCGTATAAACCTCAAAATTTACCAAATTATCCTACATGCAAAAAGTAACATTCAAACTAGACTTTTAATACTCCTTAATTTTTAATCTCTTTGAAAAATTAGCTGACAGGGTGGGATAAAACACTAGGACTTGAATCCAATACTTTGAAGTTTGAATGGAGTTTTGCATGTGTAGACATCTTTCGGGCATGAAAGTTTACTACTCGATGTTCCTACGTGCGGCTAAATTTTCTTAGATTTTGTTTTATTCGAAAACTTAGCCCAAAACACAACATACTTGTTAGAAATACGAAACAGGCTCCATTCCGTTCAACTTATTTTTTCTGATCTGATTGGATCTGATCTGATCTGATTAGATTTGATCTGATCTGATTAGATCTGATCTGATCTGATTGGTTCTGATTTGGGGGAGAAATGTAATGCCCCAGAAACCGGTCTAGAAGTTATTTGATAATTAAATAAATAAGAATTATTTATTACGATAATCCATTCTTTTAAATAATTAAAATATATTTTGGAGATTCTAATCGTCTCAACATAACAAAACTAATCTGATTATACGGAGTACATTACAAATAGGCACCATGTTCATATGAATTCCACTTGCTGGAATACTTTGACTGAGTTTGTGATGTATTTGGGTAAATCTGGCAAGTGTAAGGTGGAAGATACCGAAAAAGGATGGTTCATTACTTACAATGCCGCTGCAGATTCTCAAGAGTTGCTTCAAAAGAAGTCTAGGGGTAAGAGGTTGAGGAATAAGTTGGTGGAAGAAAAAAATCAAGAAAAGCAAATTGAGAAACAAATTAAGAGAATTTTTCATACAAGACTTCGACCCTACTCTCAAGGGCAGTGTCTCCGTACCCCCACCAAGGGAGAGCTACCCTTTTGTAAAACCCTCGTTACATAATTAGGGGTTGAACAATTTTTTTATCATAACGGACTCCACAAAATGTGTACTCCGCACCACTAAACTTTCTTGATGATTGTTATGATAACATTAGTTAAATAGTTATTTCAATTACACTATAGTATACAACAATACCCTCTATACCCACATTTTGAATAGAGTTTAACGTTGTTTATCAAGTCTTTGGTGCATGCAGTTTTACCATATGCAGTGCCTGGGCTCCAATCTGCCTCAGAGAAGTTCTCTGTGGTTTCGAGAGAGGGGGCGGATAGCGTATGGAATGTGCGTGACTCTAGGTTCATGTGGTTCAATCTTAGCCTCATAGACAGAATTGGGAAGAATATTTTAGAACAGAGGAATATTTGTTTTATCTATAAGTTAGAATACCACTAAAAACACTGAGTATATTTTATGCGTTCAAAAATATAAAAAAATATGTCAAAAATTTTACAACTCATATACTCCATCCGTTCTAAAACTATCTTACCGTTTGTGTTTACGAGTTTGACCAACTTGATTTTCAATTTAATTTATTTTATTGTGAGTGTAAAATTAAAAAATAAAATTTATATATTCAAAAACTATATCAAAAGTTCTACGGAGTATAAAATAAGAGGTGACAAGACTATATTTTTTTCAAATATCTAACAACAGTAAGTATCAAAAGTGATTTAAGTTTGATTGTGTGAATAATAATTTTGAAGAAAATTTTAAAAAATACTCCGTGACTAATAAAATAATTTGGTGGGTATTTCAGGAAGTGCGTACTCCATTCCCTTCTTTTAGATCCTGAATTACTAAGGGGGTGTTTGTTTTTCTGCCAGAAGACCTTCTGGCGTCTTTTGTCTGCGCCGCGCAGACGCGCGCAGACGATGGACTCTGCAGATTGTTTGTTTTTTGGAAGACATTTCACTCAAAAAGGTCTTCCTGGCATTTTCTTGGAGAAGACATTAACCAATGTCTTCTAACATCTTCTCCTTTTTTTCTACTTCTCTTCACCACCACAACCGTCCACCGCCACCGTCCACCATCACCGTCACCGTCCATCACCTTCGTCGTCCACCTCCACCGCCACCATCTACCG